AATGTAATGGTAGGCCTGCTGGGTGTCCTTAAAATGCTGCTTTCTGCTGTTAATTCTTTTTTGTGTCAATATGGCTCTGTTTTTTTTTAAAAGTAAATACTTTGCCTACATTTTGAAATACATTCAGATATACAGTAAATAAATGTTGTAGTTGTGCCCTATGTTTACTGTCCATCTTCTTCAGATATCAGCAAGTCTAAGTATGACGTACCAGTACAGCCGAACTTGAAGATATTCCCAACCACACTGATGGGGGACAGAAGACGAAGCTTCAGACCAAACTGGTACACTACTCATCCATGGCTTGAGTATTCTGTAATGACGGACTCTACATGTTGCTATGCATGTAGACATTTTAGCACACCAAATGCCCCAGACACCGTTTTTGTTTCAACACCTGGTTTTACAAACTGGAAAAAGGCAACTATGAGAAATGCAGGGTTTTCACTACATGCAAAGTCTGAACGACACAAGTGTGCAATGATCGCATGGAGGGATTATCAAAGAGCTGTTAGATTTTAAAGTAAAATAAAGTTTCTAATCTTTGAATATCATGTGTTGCCAGTTTTTTTATGTGTGCCCCCCTGATTAAACACTGGCCCCTCCTTGGCCCCCCTAGTAAAATGTGTCTAGAACCGCCACTCTAACTTGACTGATAGCCTGAAATTGCTTCTTGGTAGGTAGTTTTGAGGCTGGAAGATTGGAAACCTGTCTGGACTAGCTAAAGCCAACTTTATAAAATTGCTAGGAGGCTAATGGTATTACAGAGAAACAACCAAAAACTTTTTTAAAAGGACTTCTGAGGGGGCTAGTGCCCCTGTGCCCCCATATGGGGATGACACCTATATTGTTAATTTGGCTATTTTCGATTCCTATCTAAAGCTCTCATTTTGATTTTCTAAATCGTTGAGATCAAGGTCATATGCGAAAACAAAAGAGGAACATCAGAGAGAGAGAGAGAGAGAAATTACAACAAATCAATCATTAAAGGCCCAGTGCAGACAAAAATGTGATTTTCCAATGTTTTATTTATACACACTGAACAAAAATATAAATGCAACATGTAAAGTTTTGGTCCCATGTTTCATGAGCTGAAATAAAAGATCCCAGACATTTTCCAAATGCACAAAAAGCTTATTTCTCATCAAAATGTTGTGCACAAATGTGTTTACGTCCTTGTTAGTGAGCATTTCTCCGTTGCCAAGATAATCCATCCACCTGACAGGTGTGGCATATCAAGAAGCTGATTAAACAGCATGATCATGAAGGGATGTAGCTCAGTTGGTAGAGCATGGCGTTTGCAACGGCAGGGTTGTGGGTTCGATTCCCACGGGGGGCTAGTATGAAAATAAAACTATAAAAAACAAACAAAAACACAATTTATAATGTATGCACTCACTAACTGTAAGTCGCTCTGGATAAGAGCGTCTGCTAAATGACTAAAATGTAAATGTAAATCATTACACAGGTGCACCTTGCGCTGGGGACAATAAAAGGCCACTCTAAAATGTGCAGTTTTGTCACACAACACAATGCCACAAATGTCTCAAGTTTTGAGGGAGTGTGGAATTGGCATGCTGACTGCAGGAATGTCCCCCAGAGCTGTTGCCAGAGAATGTAATGTTAATTTCTCTACCATAAGCCGCCTCCAACATCATTTTCGAGAATTTGGCAGTATGTCCAACCGGCCTCACAACCGCAGACCACGTGTATGGCGTCGTGTGGGCGAACGGTTTGCTGATGTCAACATTGTGAACAGAGTGCCCAATAATGGCGGTGGGGTTATGGTATGGGCAGACATAAGCTTCGGATAACGAACACAATTACATTTTATCCATGGCAATTTGAATGCACAGAGCTACCATGACGAGATCCTGAGGCCATTGTTGTGCCATTCATCCATCTCCATCGCCTCATGTTTCAGCATGATAATGCATGGCCGCATGTCGCAAGGATCTGTACACAATTTCTGGAAGCTGAAAATGTGTTCTCCCATGGCCTGCATACTCACCAGACATGTTTGGGATGCTCTGGATCGACGTGTACCACAGCATGTTCCAGTTCCCGCCAATATCCAGCAACTTCGCACATGCATTGAAGAGGAGTTGGACAACATTCAACAGGCCACAATCAACAGCCTGATCAACTCTATGCGGAGGAGATGTGTCGCGCTGTATGAGGCAAATGGTGGTCACACCAGATAGGGAAAATGGAATACCTAGTCAGATGTACAACTGAAATGTGTCTTCCGTATTTAACCTAACCCTTCTGAATTAGAGAGGTGCGGGGGGCTGCCTTAATCAACATCCATATCATCGGCGTCCGGGGAACAGTGGGTTAACTGCCTTGCTCAGGGGCAGAACAACAGATTTTTACCTTGTCAGCTCTGGGATTCAATCCAGCAACCTTTCGGTTACTGACCCAACGCTCCTACCGCCAGGCTAGATACTGACTGGTTTTCTGATCCATGCCCCTACCTTTTTTTTTAAGGTATCTGTGACCAACAGATGCATATCTGTATTTCCAGTCATGTGAAATCCACAGATTAGGGCCTAATGAATTTAGTTCAATTGACTGATTTCCTTATATGAACTGTAACTCAGTAAAATCTTTGAAATTGTTGCATGTTGTATTTATATTTTTGTTCAGTATATTTTCCCACTATGAGGTTGGAATAATACTGTTAAATAGTGAAAATGATGATAACGCCCTTTTAGTGTAAGAGCTGTTTGAAAAGACCTCCTGACATGTCAGCCTGTTTTGGTAAATACTGATTTACCGCCAAAACTCCATCACAGTTCAGACCAATAAGAAAGAGTTCCAAACCTCTCTCCCAATAACAGCTAGTTTTCAGTTTTCACCTCCCCACTCAGACCACTCCCAGAAAGCAATATTCTTGCTTGACATATTGGTCTTTGCTAAGAAGCTATTTCTGTTTATTTTTTTTACATTTATTTGAAAACAATCACAGTATGGTACTTAATTGTTACCCAGAAATTATTTGATATTGAGATAAAAACAGCTGAATTGGACCTTTTAATATAAGAGGAAAAACACACACACACACACACACACAATCACACACAATCATGTCATATGTCACCTGTATGTTAGGGACTTTACCCTCTGATTCTTATTTAAATAAACCAAACGGACAGTCTAGACGATTCTGTTCTTCCAACTTTGTGGCAACAGTTTGGGGAAGGTCCTTTCCTGTTTTAGCATAACAATGCCCCCCGTGCACAAAGCGAGGTCCGTACAGAAATGGTTTGTTGAGATCTCACTAATGCTCTTGTGGCTGAATGGACGCAAGTCTCAGCAGCAATGTTCCAACATCTAGTGGAAAGAGTGGAGGCTGTTATAGCAGCAAAGGGGGGGACCAACTGCATATTTATGCCAATGATTTTGGAATGAGATGTCCGACGAGCAGGTGTCCACATACTTTTGTCTTTCTGTTTCATTGTTCCAGCAGGGGTAGAAGGCCGTTTACTGAGAATTTTAAGTGAGATCTATTCATCTTCATTGGGTGTTAAAAGTGAAGTGTGTCCCATAAAAATGGTAAGACAATATCACTCTGGCCTGTTTTGAAGCAACCTTTCACTCAGTGTTTGAGAGAAAGTGACAATGAAAGCCTATACAAATGTTCTTAGTGTCACAGACAGTTATGAAATCAAAGATACGTTTAAGATTTCTTCATAGAATATTTGTAAAGGACTAGAAGGTTCTCTGTGTTCACTCAGATGTGAGCGTGAAGATTGGACTACAGCGCCATCTAGAGGTGAGATGGGTCACACAAGGAAGCTTCTCAGACGAAACCTCACCCAAGCAAGGGTTCATCTATCAGATGATGAACAACAAGCCTTGTTTACACCTTGCGCTAACATGCAAGTTTGTTGATCTGATCAATACGCTCCAATCACTATTTATTTATTTACACTGAACAAAAATATAAACGCAACATGTAAAGTGTTGGTCCCATGTTTCATGAGCTGAAATGTGTTTACATCCCTGTTAGTGAGCATTTTATCCTTTGTCAAGATAATCAATCCACCTGACAGGTGTGGCATATCAAGAAGCTGATTAAACAGCATGATCATTACACAGGTGCACCTTGTGCTGGGGACAATAAAAGGCCACTCTAAAATGTGCAGTTTTGTCACACAACACAATGCCACAAATGTCTCAGGTTTTGAGGGACCATGCAATTGGCATGCTAACTGCAAGAATGTCCATTAGAGCTGTTGCCAGAGAATTTAATGTAAATTTTTCTACCATAAGCCCCCTTCAACGTCGGTATAGAGAATTTGTCAGTACGTCCAACTGGCCTCGTAACCGCAGACCACGTGTATGGCGTTGTGTGGGTGAGCGGTTTGCTGATGTCAACGTTGTGAACAGAGTGCCCCATGGTGGCGGTGGGGTTATGGTATGGTCAGGCATAAGGTATGGACAACATACACAATTGAATTTTATCGATGGCAATTTGAATGCACAGAAATACAGTGACCCTTTTTTTTTTTTAAAGGTATCTGTGACCAACAGATGCACATCTGTATTCCCAGTCATGTGAACTGTATCCCAGTCATGTGAACTGTATCCCAGTCATGTGAACTGTATCCCAGTCATGTGAACTGTATCCCAGTCATGTGAACTGTATTCCCAGTCATGTGTAACCTCGTCCCCAGGCTACTGCACACAGCTTCCAATCTTGGGGAAGTAGTCTGGTTCATGGTGCGCGAGAATGCAGCCTACGAGGACTGAACACTGTCCTCCCTAACAAGGCAGAAGAGGCTTCCAGAAGGAGATCGATATTGTACTGGAGACATGATGACAACACCTGGCAAACACTGAAGGATTGGGACAGCCAGCGCCACCAGCCTCTGGGTCCTTGTGCTCGTCAGGTGAGGGAGGCAAGGCCGGTTGGAGGCAGACCCCAGGGGGGGTGTTGACCCCAGAGAAACCAATCACAACGGGCCCTCTGGCTAGTACTTATCTGCAGGCCTGGGGGGCAGCCAGCGCTCTAGCCCGTAAACTTCTCTCTTCTCTCCTGTTGATCAGTCATCGCTGCCTGCCCAGAACCAGACCATGGTGAGTGAGTCCGCTGCCTCCCATGATGGGTGTATATGGGGTTTCAGAGATGATGAGTCATTTTACAACTGTACAGGGGGTGAAATAATTGACAGAATTGTGAGGGGAGTATACTACCCACCAGCAATAGGTAAGTATCATGTGGTTCCAGAGGTGTTGTGTCATGATTGTATATGGGTTTATTAATTCATACGTGTATTGTATTGTATTGTATTGTATTGTATTGTATTGTATTGTGTGAACTCTGATTTGGAATTATTTACTGTAGCTGTGTGGGCCTGTTGGGGATTTTCTGTTGTACACCTCACATGTAACATGGGCCACAAATGTAGTAAGGAATATCACAACCAAAGGTTTCTGATATTGGGGGGAAACATGTTCACATGCGTCAAAGATGATTGATTTTCATATTTATCTGCAGACTACCTACACAGATAAAGGGGAGAAGGTAAGTCCATCATCATCATCATTTCTACAAAACACTTTAGTCGTTTTGAAAGGAAACAAAATGTAAAAGGATCTTGAGTTGATGATGAAATGGGGAGAAATATGACGTTCTCTGGCTCCTTGGGTTACAACTTCTGTTTTAATGAGAAATGAACAACAAAATGACCAACCCTCCATATGGAGGGGATTTTGCAAATATACTATTTTTGATACAATATTTGTTTATCCTTTTCACCTTTAGCCCGAGAAGGGAAAATTTGTAAAGTTCCACCATGTTACCTTCTGGGTGGGCAATGCCAAACAGGTGAGTCTTTAAACACAGGTCCTCCCCGAAGCTAAACGGAGACTTGTCAAGTTATCCATCATATCTGATCACATCCACAATATCTCATCATATGCTGTATGCTTTTGACATGGCATGACAACTTATTAGAGGTAATATCACATTCTCAGCCTCACAATGAGCGATACTGAAGCACGTATGAGAGCTCGACAACATGCACAGCAGGATAACATGTTGTCCTGAATGGACCTTGCTTTCTAAAGGGAGACTCACTCAGGTCATTGCTCTTATGCTAGTTGACATTGGCCTTTCTCTGTGAAACTAACTGAGGTAACGGTTCAGAACTGAAAACATGTACCTGAACTTACAAGCCTTTTACAGCCATATACTGAACTGACAAATGGACTACTGTAGTAACAACCAGGGTTGGGTCATTTATAATTTAAATAAGTCAATACAGGAAGTGATTTGAATTTAAAATTCAAAAATTGATTAAAAAAAAAAAAAAAACAGCTTCTCCTTTTCGGTTTTTGAGAAGTTATTGAAAATATATGACATTTTTTCCAATGATTGAATGGGAATTTCAGTTTTTTTTCCTGAATTGACTGACTTCAATTAGAATTGACCCCAACCCTGTTGACAACCATGTATCATATCTGTAATAGTTGACTTAATCTTTGCGGACCCAGAGAGGCAACAGGAGGGTGTTTACTGGTTAAACAAAAGTTGGCAACTACAAAGGCTTAAAAGTTAACGTAAAAGTTCATTCAACCATACTACGAAAGCATACGGGTCACATGCTACGCACAGGGTTGAGCAATCACGCACAGTGTAATCCCAGGGTCAACATCTTGTGTAAGTCAATTTTCCAAATGTTCGTAAAACTTTATTTGATGGGTACCTACATAAGAACTTCATAACACATATTGTCTGTTTATGAATGTGTTGTGTATGGGTTATTAATGTGTTGTGTATGGGTTATGAATGTGTTATGTATGGGTTATTCATGTGTTATGTATGGGTTATTAATGTGTTATGTATGGGTTATGAATTTGTTATGTATGGGTTATTAATGTGTTATGTATGGGTTATTAATGTGTTATGAAATCCTTATGTATTCTCTGTGCAGGCGGCTGTGTTCTACTGTGACAAGATGGGCTTTGAGCCAGTGGCCTACAAGGGTCTGGAGACCGGCAGCCGAGAGGTGGTGTCTCATGTCATCAAACAGGATAAGGTAGCACACGCCATCTCATACCCACTTCTGGACACATAGAACCGGTTTCTCTGACCCATATTAAGCCTAATCCTAGACTAAAAATAAATATCCATTGAAAGTCTTCTTAGTCCATGACTAGGCAAGGCTGTGTCTGGGAAACTGGCCCATGGTTGGTCTCGAGCTTTTAACACTCCAACCTTGACTGACTTTAACACCTTCATCAGATGAAGTATTGACCAGGTTGTTCTTTATTCCTCACCCAGATATTTTTTGTCTTCGAATCTGCTCTGAATCCAGGAAATGAAGGCAGGTTTTCTTCTCAAAGTCGACATCTTTAAAAGGCTCCATTTCTGATATAGAGACCACCAGTCAGTCATATAAGTTTATGTTTCAAAATAGTTTTATTTTCTCTCAGAAATGGGAGAACACTTGATGAAGCATGGGGATGGGGTCAAAGACATTGCTTTCCAAGTGGAGGACCTTGAATTCTTAATCAAGGTAAGTAAAAAAGTACTTGAAGACCTAATGTAACCTTATTCAACCTTTTATCTGTTAGTTTCAAGGGTGGTGGGTAGAGGCTAATCTCAGTCCTCAAAAACAAAGTAAACAACACACTATTCTAATATAACTCAAAGAAAATGAAACCAGTCCTGGTTATAATCTACTTGCCATGGAGTTCATCCCATTCTTTTCATTAAATGTATAAGTAAGTAAGTATGAAAAATGTATGCACTCACTAACTGTAAGTCGCTCTGGATAAGAGCGTCTGCTAAATGACTAAAATGGAAATGTAAAAAAAATGGTGGATAGAGTGGAGGGTGGTGGGTAGAGGGTGGAGGGTGGAGGGTGGTGGGTGGTGGGGGTGGGAGGGTAGAGGGTGGAGGGGTGGAGGGTGGAGGGGGAGGGGGTGGGGGGTGGTGAGGGGGGGAGGGTGAGGAAGAGGGTGGAGGGGGGGAGGGGGGGAGGGTGGGGGTAGGGTGGAGGGGGGAGGGTGGAGGGTGGAGAGGGGGAGGGTGGAGGGTAGAGAGGGTGGAGGGAGGGTGGTGGGGGTGAGGGTAGAGGGGGTGGGTGGTGAGGGGTGGAGGGTGGGGGTGGTGAGGGTAGAGGGTGGAGGGTAGAGGGGTAGAGGGGGAGGGTGGAGGGAGGGTGGGGGTGGGGGGGGGGTGGTGGGTGGTGGGTGGTGGGTGGGGGTAGAGGGTGGAGGGGGGGTGGAGGGTGGAGGGTAGAGGGTGGAGGTGGAGGGGGGGGTGGAGGGTGGAGGGTGGAGGGGGGGGTGGGGGTGGGGGTGGGGGGGGAGGGTGGAGGGGTGGAGGGTAGAGGGGGGGTGGTAGAGGGTGGAGGATAGAGGGTGGAGGGTGGAGGGTGAGGGTGGAGGTGGGAGGGTGGAGGGTGAGAGGGTGGGGGAGGGTGGGGTGGGGTGGTGGGTGGGGGGTAGGTAGAGGGTGGAGGGTGGAGGGGGAGGAGGGGTAGTTGGAGAGGTGGAGGGAGGGAGTGGGGGGGAGGGGGGGAGGGGTAGAGGGTGGGGGAGGGTGGGAGGTGGGGGAGAGGGTGAGGGGAGGGGGGGGGGAGGGGTGGAGGGTGGAGGGGTGGAGGGAGGGTGGTGGTAGAGGGTAGAGGGGGGAGGGGGAGGTAGAGGGGGAGGGGGGGTGGGTGGTGGGGGGGTAGAGGGTGGAGGGTGGAGGGGTAGAGGGGTAGAGGGTGAGGAGGGTGGAGGGTGGAGGGTGGGGTGGGGTGGTGGGGTGGTGGGTGGTGGGGTAGAGGGTGGTGGTTAGAGGGTAGAGGGTGGAGGGTAGAGGGTAGAGGGTGGTGGGTAGAGGGTGGAGGGTGGAGGGTGGAGGGTGGTGGTTAGAGGGTGGAGGGTAGAGGGTGGTGGGTGGAGGGTGGAGGGTAGAGGGTGACCTTTCGGTTACTGGCCCAACGCTTTTAACCGCTGGGCAGGACTGAATGCCACAGATGAACCTGGTACCCTGTCTGTCCCTCTTCTAGGTTAAACAGAGGGTTTGAATGAACTCTGCTCTGGGTCCAATGCCCCAAGGGAAAGCTGATAATTTAACAAAGAGGTATTTCTACCTATAACCAAAAGGGGAAGGGAGAAGGAAGCAAGCTGACAGTGTCGTGTCTTAGTCAAAGTGTCTGGAGCTGTGTGGTGGAGTGATAACAAGTTAGGTGCTTTCTTGGTAACGTGTCCTGGGTATTTGTCCCCTTGTAAACTGAGTTATGGAACTGTTTTTGCAGAAGCTAAAGAGCGAGGGGCGGTGGTGGTCAAGGAGCCTTGGATTGACCAAGATAGCCACGGCAAAGTCAAGTACGCTGTCTAGGACGGTGGGTGAGTGGGGCGAAGAGAGGGACAGGAGAGAGGAGCGAGCGAGAGAGAGAAGAGAGAGAGAGAGAGAGAGAGAGAGCGAGAAGAGGAGGAGAGAGAGAGAGAGAGAGAGAGAGAGAGAGAGAGAGCTCTCCTCTCTCTCTCCTCTATCTCTCCTCTCTTCTCTCTCTCTCTCTCTCTCTCTCTCTCTCTTCAACCTAGTCTCTCTCTGTCACATACTGTAAATACGTTTGACCTGATGCAGTTGAGGTACTGTAATTCATAATGAATAGCTTGCCTTACCCATCTTCCCCTAGTATGGGGATACAACACACACTCTCATTGAGTACATGGGACCCTACAAAGGTTTGTTTCTGCCCGGATACAACACACCTATGGTAAAGGACTGCCTGCTACCCACACTGTGAGTTTCAATCACACATGATGATTTCTAAAAGCAGTGTTTCAATTTTCTCTCATCATAATTCAACACAAACCGGTAACAGTTGTATAGCCTCAAGTCACTGGTTGTTTTTTGTATGCTTTTGACAGCTCAGCCAGATCTCGTACGCAACAGTCACAGTCAGACATACTCACCCCAACTATCTCTCTCCAGGCCGCCAGGACTTCTGAACTTCATCGATCACATTGTGGGAAACCAGCCAGACGATGCAATGGTTCCCGTGTCAGACTGGTGAGGTTCCCTACAGCTCGCACATACACAGCTGGCAGCGCATCGAGACAGAGGAGAACGGGGGAAGAGAAACGTCTAGGGCCGCTGTGCTCGCACATACACAGCTGGCAGCGCATCGAGACAGAGGAGAACGGGGGAAGAGAAACGTCTAGGGCCGCTGTGCTCGCACATACACAGCTGGCAGCGCATCGAGACAGAGGAGAACGGGGGAAGAGAAACGTCTAGGGCCGCTGTGCTCGCACATACACAGCTGGCAGCGCATCGAGACAGAGGAGAAAGGGGGAAGAGAAACGTCTAGGGCCGCTGTGCTCGCACATACACAGCTGGCAGCGCATCGAGACAGAGGAGAAAGGGGGAAGAGAAACGTCTAGGGCCGCTGTGCTCGCACATACACAGCTGGCAGCGCATCGAGACAGAGGAGAACGGGGGAAGAGAAACGTCTAGGGCCGCTGTGCTCGCACATACACAGCTGGCAGCGCATCGAGACAGAGGAGAAAGGGGGAAGAGAAACGTCTAGGGCCGCTGTGCTCGCACATACACAGCTGGCAGCGCATCGAGACAGAGGAGAACGGGGGAAGAGAAACGTCTAGGGCCGCTGTGCTCGCACATACACAGCTGGCAGCGCATCGAGACAGAGGAGAAAGGGGGAAGAGAAACGTCTAGGGCCGCTGTGCTCGCACATACACAGCTGGCAGCGCATCGAGACAGAGGAGAACGGGGGGAAGAGAAACGTCTAGGGCCGCTGTGCTCGCACATACACAGCTGGCAGCGCATCGAGACAGAGGAGAAAGGGGGAAGAGAAACGTCTAGGGCCGCTGTGCTCGCACATACACAGCTGGAAGCGCAGTCGAGACAGAGGAGAAAGGGGGAAGAGAAACGTCTAGGGCCGCTGTGCTCGCACATACACAGCTGGCAGCGCATCGAGACAGAGGAGAAAGGGGGGAAGAGAAACGTCTAGGGCCGCTGTGCTCGCACATACACAGCTGGCAGCGCATCGAGACAGAGGAGAAAGGGGGGAAGAGAAACGTCTAGGGCCGGCTGTGCTCGCACATACACAGCTGGAAGCGCATCGAGACAGAGGAGAAAGGGGGAAGAGAAACGTCTAGGGCCGCTGTGCTCGCACATACACAGCTGGCAGCGCATCGAGACAGAGGAGAAAGGGGGAAGAGAAACGTCTAGGGCCGCTGTGCTCGCACATACACAGCTGGCAGCGCATCGAGACAGAGGAGAAAGGGGGAAGAGAAACGTCTAGGGCCGCTGTGCTCGCACATACACAGCTGGCAGCGCATCGAGACAGAGGAGAAAGGGGGAAGAGAAACGTCTAGGGCCGCCGTGCCTTTCATAAACACGCCGCAGGTTCACAGAAATCCAGCACAGGAAGCACTGGGGTTAGGTTTACTCTTATGTGAGAAAATAAAAGCAGTCAAGATAAGGAAGAGGAAGACATTTAAATCCTTAAGAGTCTATGACGCACCCGTGCGTCAATGTAAGAAACATATTTTTTTTTAAATCCCCATCAAAATCCGTCAGTTTAAGCTAGAGATATCTGTTTTTTGCCTGGGCTGCGTCTCAATTCACAGCATCAGCCCCTCCGCATCTGCGGTGGAAGGTGGCCGAGCTACAGCGGTGTTTGTCAGACCATGAGACATCCCGAAAAAATCGGTCTTCTCACGAAAACATCTGTAGCGTCCAAACGGCTTGGCCTAAAAAAAAACTCATATGACCACTCTGTGGAAAGATGAGACTCTCGCGAACACGATGACCCTAAGCCTATCCTGTGTGTTAAGGCCATTGAGACCCATAGGTTGAGAGATACACTGATAGTTAATGAACCACACTCACCATCCACTGTCTCCAGGTATCAGAACTGCTTGATGTTCCACCGGTTCTGGTCGATAGATGACAAACAGATCCACACGCAGTACAGCGCCCTGAGGTCCATCGTAGTGACCAACTATGAGGAGACCATCAAGATGCCAATCAACGAACCTGCCCCTGGCAAGAAGAAGTCGCAAATCCAGGTCTGACCCCTGACCTTTAACCTCTGTGTGTGTGTGTGTGTGTGTGTGTGTGTGTGTGTGTGTGTGCGTGTGTGTCACAGGAGGCTGCTGAGGGGAGGACGGCTCATAATAATGGCTGGAATGGAGTAAATGGAGTGGTATCAAACACCATGGAAACCATGGAAACCATGGAAACCACGTGTTTTAAGTGTTTCATACCATTCCATTGATTCTGTTCCAGCAATTACTATGAGCCTGTCCCTTGATTAGGTCTCAACTAAATCAAATCAAATCCAATTTTATTTGTCACATGCTTACTAAACAACAGGTGTAGACTAACAGCTTACTTACGGCCCTTCCCAACAATTCAGAGATAAAAAAGATAAATAATAGAAAAATAGGAGTCGTGATGCTGCGAAGCAGGGTGGTTGTCTGAAAGGAGCGATAAAATGCTCCCAAATTTCCACAAAGTTCGATAGAATTTAGTATAATTGTTTTTTGAGGGGTAATTAACTTTTATTTGTTTTATCAACGTTTTTCAACAATGTATGCGTTGAATTCAGCTTCAACGCGTACACGTAGCACGATCGCTAGCGCAGCGGCTAACAGGGCTAGCTCTGTTGCTAGCGCTTCAGCAAGCGTGACGTTGAAACGGCAGAACATAGAACCCAGCTCGTTGTCGGCCTTGCAATCATCCCTACAGAAGGCCATGGAAGAAATGGGTACCAAGTCAGCACCATTCTTGAATCTCTTGAATCGAATGTCTCTCAGGTCAAGAAATCTCAGATGGATATGCAAGAAGATGTATCAGTCATATTACAGAGGCTAGATGAGACAGCGGGTCGGATATCAACACTGGAGGACAACCAACTGATCAAGAAAGCCGAGAAGAATGCCAAACTGTATGAGGATTTTCACAGGCTGCAAGATATCATTCTTTCCCGATATGACCAAGGAGCTGGTGGATAAAAGGAGGCTTTTTTACCGCAACAAGGAAGAGGCTGCATGAGTTGGATGTACGTTTCACACTCGCCTACCCAGCTGTGCTACGCTTTACATGGAAGGGGGAGAGACAGAGCGCCAATGACTATCGCAAGGCGATGGAATTCCTCAAGAAAAACTCAAGAGGACCAGAAATCAGGGCATGGATGGCGAAGTCATATTGGCGGGTGAGTTCTATATGGGACAGTGTTTATGTGGCACACAAAGACAATTCGGCAGACTAATAGCTACAGTACCACTATTTCAGACTGTATAGCTACAATGCTATTTTTGTCACTGGAGGTTTAGCCGGTTGGCTACTCAGTTGCCTGGTCAAAAACGACCCCTAAGCAAAGATTGCGGTTAATTAAGTAGATGGAACCAACGGCCTGAAAGGAAAATAGGAAGGTAACATAAGGTTGAATGTTAATAGATTAATAAATTAAAAGTACTGTATTTATTTTAATTGATCTGATTTGAAATGGGTTCATAGAAGACGTACTGAAGTGGCAGCCCCTTTCCCTAGAAGCGGAGACGGCATTCGATAGGTTGGAGTGGGGCTTTTTTGACACATACCCTTGAAAAGTTTGGCTTTGGCCCCTGGATTTATCAAGTGGGTTAAGGTATTATACTCCAATCCAAGAGCAGCAATCCTCACAAATGGTATGATCTCTTCCTTTTTGTATTTTTTTCGAGGTTGAACCCAGCAGGGAAGTCCTCTCTCACCTCTCCTCTTTACTCTATTTATGGAGCCCTTGGCAGCAGCAACCAGAGCTGATTCAGGAATCAAAGGAGTGATGGGAGGTGCCAGAGAGCATAAGCTGTTTTTATACGCTGACGACATATTGTTACTTATTAGGGAACAGGTCACTTCAATCCCGTTGGTTTTGAACACAATTGACATGTTCTCACAGATATCTGGTTATAAGATTAATTGGCAGAAGTCAGAGGCTATGCCTGTTTCCAAATTCTGTCCTCCTGTTGCAATTACCTCATTACAGTTAAAATGGGTGCCATCAGGGATGATATACCTGGGTATAAGACTGAGCAACGAACTACAGAATATCATGCAAATGAATATGATGCCACTACTACAAAAAAAAAAAGAATAATCTTGATAAATATAGGTTGCTTTATCTTACTTTATGGGGCAAAATAAATACTGTTAAAATGGTTGTGGCACCACATTTAAATTGTGTCCATGATGCTCCCTGTGACCATTTCTCCCTTACTATTTAAGCAGTACAATCAAATGATTAAGGATTATTTTTGGGATGGGAAAACCCCCAGAATAAATGTGAACAAGTTATATGCTCCAAGGGATAAAGGAGGACTAGCAGTACCCAATGTAGAACTATACAACATAACATTTGAAGTAGCCAAATTGGCCAGACACTTGGGCAATTATGATTCCCATTTGGGATGGACTCAGATTGAGAGGTCGATCACGGCCCCGTTTAAGCTTATTGAGGCCTTATCACAAAAAATTATTCAGAGACCGCCAACTGAAGAGGCTAACCCAATCCTACAACATTCCCGAGAGGTATTGGTTAAGATTCATAAAATGCTTGGAATTTCCCAGTATAAACAAACATATTCTTCCATATGGCACAGCCCATCCGTTTACGTAGGAAAACATTCATTTATCTGGGAGGTATGGATTCGACAAGGCCTGCATGCACTAGAGGATCTATATGAGAAAGGAGTGCTTATGTCCTATCAGGACCTGAAGGAGACATTTAATTATCCAGATAAGGGAGATCTCTGGAAATACTTACAACTAAGGAGCTGCATGGGGTCTCTTATGAGTATTAACCTCCAGAGAGATGAAAACTTGTTACAACAATATTTCATGTTACCAGAAATATCACACTCCGCTTCAGTGTTTTTATAAAAGAGTCTCATATGCACAATATGGAAACTGTGAGAATTTAAGGTTGATTTGGCAAAGGGATCTTAATTGTGACATTGAGGTGGATGTATGGAAAAATATTGTTTCCAATGTAGGGAGGTGTGCCAGGTATACAAGGGGTACATCTACACATTATAAGATTGTTCATAGATATTACTGCACCCCTACTAGATTACATAAAATGGGTTTATTGCTAAATAATTTATGCTGGAAATGCAAGGGTGAAGTAGGTACCTTTTTGCATGCTATATGGGAATGTCACATGGTGCTCCCTTTCTGGAAGGAGGTTCTTAATAAGCTTGAAGAATGGGTGGGACAGCCTATCCCAGAGTCCCCACTGCTCTGCTTATTAGGGGATATATCTATTTTACCACCAGGTATTAGCAAAGAAGAGTGTGGTCTTGCCTCAGTGGGGTTTCTTACGGCGGCTAGACTCATACTACGTAACTGGAGGAGAGCGCAGATAGTCCGAAATCAACAAACTCATGGTGGAGACCGCATCTTATGAATCAATGATAGCGAAATTACAGGAGAGGAAAGGGAAATTTAGTGTGATATGGGAACACTGAATTATATAAGGAACTGGACGTGTGGGTGAGAAGCTAGGGTTTAAGTTAGTGTAATGGATTTTTAATAATAAAATACTGTCACGTTCGCTTAAGGAGGAGGACCAATGCGCAGCGTTGAATGCGTACATATTATTTATTAAACAGATCACCCGATCAAAACAACGAACGAAACGTGAAGTCCTTCGATACACACAAACCAAAAGGAACAAGAAACCACAACACAAAGTGAAAAGACCGATAGTTAAATATGGCTCCCAATCAGAGACAACCAGCTGACACTCGTTGCCTCTGATTGGGAGTCACTCAGGCCAACATAGATATACAAACATAGACTTACACACCCTGGCTCAACATAACATAGTCCCCAGAGCCAGGGCGTGACAAATACACAAGAATGCAGCTATATAGAGGGAGTCCAAATCAATGTGGAGCTATATACAGGAAGTACCAGTACCAGATCAATGTGGAGCTATATACAGGGAGTACCAGATCAATGTGCAAAGATATGAGGTATTTGAGGTAGATATGTACATGAAGGCAGGGTAAAGTGACTAGGCATCAGGATAGATAATAATAAGGTATTTGAGGTAGATATGTACATGAAGGCAGGGTAAAGTGACTAGGCATCAGGATAGATAATAATAAGGTATTTGAGGTAGATATGTACATGAAGGCAGGGTAAAGTGACTAGGCATCAGGATAGATAATAATAAGGTATTTGAGGTAGATATGTACATGAAGGCAGGGTAAAGTGACTAGGCATCAGGATAGATAATAATAAGGTATTTGAGGTAGATATGTACATGAAGGCAGGGTAAAGTGACTAGGCATCAGGATAGATAATAATAAGAGTGAAATGAAGAACAGAGTAGCAGCAGCATATGATGAGTGTAAAAGTGTGTGTGTGTGTGTGTGTGTGTGATGTATATGTAGGTGTGTTTGTGTTGTGTCGGTCTGCTTGTGTGTGTTACGTGTGTTTGGGCGTATGAAGCGTATGTGATTGTGTGTTGGTTTTGTGTGGGAGTGTCAGTGTAATGTGTGTACAGTATATATAGTCTAGTGAGTGTGTGTGTAGGGTCAGTCCAAGATAGAGTCAGTGCAGATAGTTTGGGTACCATTAATTGACTATTTAGCAGTCTGGTGGCTTGAGGTTTGAGGCGGACGCTCCGGTACCTTTTGGAACAGTCTATGACTTGGGTGGCTGGAGTCTTTGGCAATTTTTCAGACATTCCTCTGACACCGCCTGGTATAGAGGTCCTGGATGGCAGGGAGCTCGGCCCCAGTGATGTACTGGGCTGTCCGCAGCACCCCTTGTAGCGCCTTGCGGTCGGATGCCAAGCAGTTGCCATACCAAGCAGGGGATGCAGTCAGTCAAGATGCTCTCAATGGTGCAGCTGTATAACGTTTTGAGGATCTGAGGGCCCATGCTGAATCTTTTCAGCCTCCTGGGGGGGAAGAGGCGTTGTCGTGCCCTCTTCACGACTGTGTTGGTGTGTGTGGACCATGATCATTCATTAGTGATGTGGACACAGAGGAACTTGAAGCTCTCGACCTGCTCCACTTCAGCCCTGTCAATGTGGATGGGGGCGTGCTCGGCCCTCCATTTCCTGTTGTCCACGATCAGCTCCTTTGTCTTGCTGATGCTGAGGGATAGGTTGTTGTCCTGGCACCACACTGCCAGGTCTCTGACCTCCTCCTTATAGGCTGTCTCATCATCGTCGGTGATCAGACCTACCACCGTTGTCGTCGGCAAACTTAATGATGGTGTTGGAGTCGTGCTTGGCCACGCAGTCGTGGGTGAACAGGGATTACAGGAGGGGACTGAGCACGCACCCCTGAGGGGCCCCCGTGTTGAGGATCAGATGTGTTGTTGCCTACCCTTACCACCTGGGGGCGGCCTGACAGTAAATTTAGGATCCAGTTGCAGAGGGAGCTGTTTAATCCCAGGATCCTTAGTTTAGTGATGAGCTTGAACGACGCTATGGTGTTGAGTCTTAGTGCCAGCATCAGTTTGTGGTGGTAAATACACAGCTACGAAGAATATAGATGAAAACTCTCTTTGTAGATAGTGTGGTCTACAGCTTATCATGAGATACTCTACCTCAGGCGAGCAAAACCTTGAGACTTCCTTTATATTACCAGCTCTAACTATCCGCCTGTGGTGTATGAGTGTGTGTGTCAGTATTTTAACTTGATTTAACTTGATTTCAACAGGAGTATTGCGACTACAATGGAGGGCCTGGTGTCCAGCACATCGCCCTGAACACATCAGACATCATTCAAGCCGTAAGTCAATCACATATTTTCTGATGAGGAAAGAAATACAATGTTACTGTGCCTTCAGAAAGTATTCATGCCCCTTATTCCACATTTTGTTGTTACATGCAACTTATTATGTGACTTGTTAAACACATGTTTACTCCTGAACTTATTTAGGCTTGCCATAAAGGGGTTGAATACTTATTGACTCAAGACATTTCAACTTTTCATTTTGTATTAATTTGTAAACATTTTGAAAAAATAAATCCACTTTGACATTATGGGTTATTGTGTGTAGCGGTTACCCAACAATCTCAATATAATCAATTTTAAATGCAGGCTGTAACACAACACAATGTGGAAAAAGTCAAGGGGTGTGAATACTTTCTAAAGGCCCTGTATATCAGTTGAATATTTACAATCCATACAGATCCATTGCTTTAACGGAGACATTCTAAGTAAGCAAGCACAGGCAAGGCTGTATACTCCATACAGCTATGTATCAGGGAAAGGCAAGGCATTGGAAATACTGCAGAACCATCAGCTTCATCCATTTCGTCTTCTCTTGAGCTAAGCATGTAGTGACAGGCTTAAGATAATTGAACCCCGTCTTTAAACAGATCGTGAACCTCCGAGCCCGGGGGATGGACTTCCTGGCGGCCCCTGACGCTTACTATGAGAGCCTGAGGAAGAACCTCAAGACATCCAAGATCAAGGTGAAGGAGGACCTCAAGAGGCTACAGGTGAATCGAGCGTCATGTCTTTAATCACGTACTGGGGGGCTCTTTCTCAATTCGTCTTTTCTCCTCGATTCCTCTCATCCTCTCTTCTCGCTTCCTTCTCAAAAGTCCTTGGTTCCTACCCCTCTGACCTTCTCCTCGTTTTAAGAAGCAGGCCGCAAGGTATCGAGGACAGACAACTTGAGGAAGAGCCCGTGTGTGATCTAAATCAGAGCTGATACTTTTTTGCTCAGTGTCCTGATCTCCTTATTAATTATCTCTGTCTGTCTTGGCTGAGTCAAGGAACTGAAAATCTTAGTCGACTTCGATGACAAGGGCTACCTGCTTCAAATCTTCACCAAACCTGTGCAGGACCGACCAACCCTTTTTCTGGAAGTCATTCAGCGTCACAACCACTTTGTAAGTATATCAGATATTTGGAGACCAGAGGTCAATTAGCTTTTCCTCTGATTATGAGGGATCCCCAAATACTTTTCATTTAAAAACCACAGATGCCGGATTAAAACTACCTATAAAAGTGGCCCGGTTTCACTTGTATACGAGTGGCGCATTGGTCTAATGCACTGCATCGCAGTATTAGCTGTGCCACTAGAGATCCTGGTTCGAATCCAGGCTCTGTCGTAGCCGGCCGCGACCGGGAGACCCATGGGGCGGCGCACAATTGGCCCAGCGTCATCCAGGGTAGGGGAGGGAATGGCCGGCAGGGATGTAGCTCAGTTGGTAGAGCATGGCGTTTGTAACGCCAGGGTTGTGGGTTCGATTCCCACAGGGGGCCATTATGGAAAAAAGTATAATTTAAAAAATGTATGCACTCACTAACTGTAAGTCGCTCTGGATAAGAGCGTCTGCTGAATGACTAAAATGTAAATGTAAATTTAATACTACCCCTTTATAGGGGGATTGTAGGTCTATAAAACCGGCAACACGTGTGTCCGTGCGCTCGTGTGTTAACACCTGTTTACGGCTCCCACCCAGGGCACAAACACAACACAGCTATAAAGGATCAGTCAATCTATCACAGATGCAGATTAAAGACCAACTGTAGCAGAGAGAGAGCTGGAACTGAGCAAGAGTTGTGGATTGGGTTTCACCCTGTGGCACTTTGTTTGGTTTCTAACCAAGCCCCCCCCCCCCCCGACTCACTACCTGTTAGAACAGGCTCCATCAAGGCGTTGGCGTTTCACAGTCTAGTGATGTGGACAGGATTGGTTATGCCTGAAACTCAAAACATTTAGCTACACTACCACCAAAGGAACTGTGGGAGAAACCACCAACACTTTCTTGGTCTTTACCGTCTTTGTCTTTTTTATTACACTTTAAAGATATCGACATGATTTTCTTGGAGATCATAAATTAAATGTACCGTTCTGAGACGAGCTGGCGTTTGAACATAAATCTCTGGGGGGGCGGTGTTTAAGTGTTTAGCCTCGGTCTCAGGAAGTCAACACCAAAGACATTAAAGCCGAATCACAGACCTTCATCCTTTACAATAACCAAAAGCTGTCAGTGAGTTCATCCCTTCAGCCATTACAAATAACACAGAATGAGGCGGGAATAAGATCTCCGAGCTAATGTAAAAAACAGAGCTTTAATAAATACATTTCATTGATTGACTGAGATGGACCCCTGCTTTTTTATCTCACCACAGGGCTTCGGGGCAGGAAACTTCAAGTCTCTGTTCGAGGCCATTGAGAAGGACCAGGATGCCAGGGGCAACCTCACCGTTTATAACTAATATCACACCACCGTTGTATGGCTGCACCAATGAAGCCAAGTTAATGTGTTGTACTGAATGTTCAATGTTGTATGGCTTTGCTTAAAGAGATTTAGAACGGAGATTTAGCACCTATTTTGATCAATGTATGGGACAAGTTGTTGAACGCAATTACAAAACAAATCTGTGAAATTTCCCTATTCTACGATCACTGCGATAACATGCACCAGCTTTCCATCTTTTACCTTTGTAAGGTAAGAGCCAGCATATGTCTCGCCAGTGACAACATGATGATAATTCTGATACAAATGATATTTGACTGAAAATGTACATTAATTGAATGACCTAGTTTTACAATGGGATTTGTCAGATAAATAAAAAAATAATAAAAAAAGGTTAATTTAAAATACAATTTAGAGCATATACAGCAACAGAGGTTTTTATTTCAAAATAATTTATTTGCATATAATTGGAATGAAGCCAGGTTGATACATCTGTTGTGGCACATAGTTTCATATAGATATCGTTTCTATACAGAAAGCATGTCTTGTTTTTCAAAACCTGGACAAAAATGGATAAATATATTAGTAAATAAATATATTAGTGACATATCACCATATTGAAATGTTCTATTATATATAAAATACAACACTTTATTTCATTTCTGTTTTTGTCTTTCTCTTTTTATACTCAAAGTATCCAAAATATACTGATAGATCCCTTCCGTTTCTATAGGGATTGTGTTCTAATAGAAAAAAGGCAGTTTCAGCTCATTATGCATTCGAAAAACAAAACAATGAACACGAAGAGAAAATGACCCTGAAATGGCTAATAAAATCGCCCCCAAAATGTTTCAGGGATGTTTCATAGATTTTTAAGTGTTATATTTCCTTGTACTGGTCATTGGCGTAGTTATAATGCTTTGTTTACTTTTCATTGAGTTTTTCCTGTTAAATCTATTTTTAAAAAAAAATAGTTTAGAAGCCAAAGTGCTGGTTGGTTGTGATTGAGTCATTTTCAGCACAGACTAGGGTACTGTAGCCAGGAATGCAGAAAGATTTCACAATGTTTTACTGTTGTTTTAAAGGGAAACATTTGTGGGAGCAGTGTTCGGTCTGGTTTAACCAGGCTATAGGGGACTGTTCTCTACACAGTGTTCGGTCTGGTTTAACCAGGCTATAGGGGACTGTTCTCTACACAGTGTTCGGTCTGGTTTAACCAGGCTATAGGGGACTGTTCTCTACACAGTGTTCGGTCTGGTTTAACCAGGCTATAGGGGACTGTTCTCTATACAAATATATAACAGACACAACCTGAAGTATTAGCTAGAGAAGCTGTCTCCAAAAAACATTAGAAAATGAGGTATCGGTAAATATTGGGGCTGTAATCTATGATTGTCCGTGATTTTGGCTGCATGCGATACCATTTTTCGTATTTTTCTTGTTAGGCAAAACACAGCTAATTGGGTTTAGATTGATGGAGGTGAAATAGAGGGCATCCAAAAGGGGTTTCTTTGGTAAAATAACACTAGCTTTTAATGTATTAGGTTATTTGATGATCTCAGATAATAATAAAGTTCAACCGATCAATAGGAGGTAGAGAATGAATCATCTCATAACTGGTTCAGAGTGTTACTACCGTAGATCAGCCACAGGACATTTAAAGGTTGTTTTAAGTGCTTCCAACTATTTAGAAAATACTCTGGGGATCAATAGGTTTATTCAATTCAATGTTTACCGTCTGTCTCGGATGCAATGCAGTCTCCTTTCACATGTCCACTGAGCCTCCATGTACACATATACAGTAAGCACTAAATATATATTGGGGGATACATATATAACTACGCACATTTAATATGACTTTTCTTTGCTCTGGTGTTTCTAATCTCCTGGGATGTTGGATCCCAGTGAGACATTCAGGGAAAGGGCTTGACTGACCGAGCGACACCAGGCTTCTATTTAAGGCCACAGGTTTGTTTGGTCAATGTTTGGTTGTGAATAATGTATGTTCCCAAAGTTGAATGAATTATGAATTATCATGGCTTTCCTCCAGTTATTACATAGTAATTATGTATATAATATTTTGCTACAATGGTCAAGATAAGGGGACCCTTGGTGAGCCATAGCTGCTGATAGATGAGAAATGGAAAGGAGAGAATATCCTTGCTGGTGAACATTGATAGGGTTGTGTAATAGGTCATGGGGTTAAAGGTCAGGGGTCAGGGGTGAAGAGCAGACGACATGGCACACTCACACTGCTGTTCTGGAGGCAGACCTACATGGGTTCAAATATAATTGTAAATATTTCACATACTTTTGAGCTTTTGCATACTTTAGCCTGATGGGCAGGGTTTTTCTTTTGGGACTATTACATTGGAGCCAGGCAAGCTGAATCAAGCACAGCTACAGTATTTGAAATATGTCAAATACAGTTTGAACCCAGGTCTGTCTGGAGGGCCCCTCCCTCCTTCACTGGCCACCAAATCAGCAATCAGGTCAAACATACTACGTAACCACTGGCAACATGAGAAATGACATGAGTAAAACTAAAATAGCTTGTAATAATAACATCGTCCAGTCTTTTAACGATGAAAAACAAAATTACAGATGTTCTTTTTTTACCGAACCACAAAACAAACAAAATGTGATGAAAACAGCTGCCATTATTGAATGAACCAACACAAGTCCCCATGCTAGCCCCTAATGACCTCTCAGGATGACCTCTCAGGATGCTCACTGCTTGTAGGGCCAGCTAAGAAAATAACTGTTTTCCTTCAATGATAAGCTTCTTGGCTCTTTTCTGTAGCTCTGAGTACCTTTGCGAAACCCACGCCGATGGGAAACATTTCTGAATCTGATTTGAGTTAGGCTGGAAAGAGCAAGAAACCTCCAACTGAGCATGTATGGGGGTAATACATGATCCAATGGTTGTCTACATATTGTATCTACACAAATGAAGGAGTTTAAGGACATTAAGGATGTGAGGGGAAAATCAAGTATTACTGAGTAGTACCTCATAGTATAATCGATTAAGTACTCAATCAACCACTCAAGGGAATTAGATATCCAATATGTGCATGTGATTTCTACTGAGGGAGACAGTAGGAGAGTTTCGTGATGTGAATCGAGACTCAAGCCCTGAGCAGTGATCATTCCTTGTGGTCACTAAGGCAACTTGTTGGTATTGAGTTCTTCCTGTAATTTACAAAACAAAATAAAAAAACTAGACGAAAAACTAAATAAAAACATTCCCAGTCAGTCTCCATCTTGAAACACATAACCACTTGGCAACAACAAAACTCAAAATCAAACACATTGACATACTGGAATTCAACAATGAATTAGAGCAATTTGAGGTCCATACATGACTTGTGCTTATTGTTTGAATTGATGGTCAAAATAAATAAATGTTCAAAACAATCATAATCTCATAGACTCATTTTTATATTTTTTGGACAGACGGAACTCTGAGCACTGACTGGGGGATTCTGGGAAACGTAGTCTGAATGCAGCTATTTCATGTGGAATTATTTGGAAGACTTGAGAAAGATGGCCGCCGATTTGTCCGTTCCGGCTCCTGTGTACGTAGCAGCGTGACGTTGGGGATGCGCCTAGCGAGTCCTCACACGCCGGACTCCTCCTCTGATCCTGGATGTGGAGAAAAAGACGACAGGTTTATTTACCTCCAACACACCGACAGACATGACACAACCATGGGGCTCTTTCTCAATTCGTCTCGCCTCGCCTTCTTTCCCAAAATGCAATTCATTCAACTTCCCTACAAATTAGATTAAGGTGAATTGAGGTGAGGAGATAGGATGCGAAGAAGCATGGAAAGACCAATTGCGCTAGAGCCATAAAATATTTACCTTAGAGAATACCATGCCTATGGGGAAACTATGAACAAGAGAGCAGTTGTTCACATCACATGTAGCTATAAGAAAAGTTAAGGATTGAACACCCACCCTGATTGTTGTGTAATGTTTGACAGTATAAACAAAAGTCTGTGTTGCGGTCGTGCGCTGGGCTTTGGTGACCGTGGTGACGCCTGCTGCATGGGGGTGGGGGTCTGTCCATAGGGGCCCCCAGCCCGGGCCCCAGCAGCTGGGGCTCAGAGTGGGCCTGCTGCACCCGCTTCTGCCACACCACATGGTGGGGCCCTCCACAGCAGGGCCAGTCCTCTAGGCCCCCCAGGGGCCCCATTCCTCCAGAGTCCAGGATGAGGGGCACAGGCATGGGGAGCAGACCGGGGGGCAGGTCGGGCGGGGGGCAGCAGTAGCCCTGGCCGTAGTGGATGTGAATGCTACAGTCGTCCTGCAGGTCCAGGCTCTGGTGGAAACGCACTGAGGGGCCGTCGAGCACGCAGCCGCCCAGCCGGCCTGCCCTCTGGTGGGGGTGGCCTCCGTGGCTCTGGCCCTGGTGGCAGCAGGGGGGTGGGGGTGGTAAGGGGGCTGGAGGTACCAGGACGGGAGGGGGGCCTGAGGGGGGGCTGAGCTCATGGTCCTGACCCTCTGTCCCGTGGCCATGGGCCCCTCTACAGTCTGTGTGGTCTGCCTTAGGGCACTGACAGGGGCTGTCTTTCAGAGGGCACACTGGGGAATCTTTGTCCAGAGCCGGGGGAGAACCTGACACAGGGCCAATAGCAGCAGCAGCAGCCCCCAGCTCCTCGTCTGACCCCCTGCCTGGCCCGTGGCCCTGTCCCTGGGCGTGCTCCCGCTCCCCATCCTCTCGGTAGTGGTGGTGGCGGTGGCGGTGGTAGTGGACGTGGCTAAACACAGCCTGCTGTTGCTCCTCAGAGCACCCTCCTCCTCCTCTTCCTCCTCTGTCTCTGTTCATCACTGAGTCCAGGGACTTGGGTCTCTGGACCCCTGCCTCCATGCTGTCCCTGTGGCCTGTCCGCCCCGGCCCCGGCCCCGGCCCGTAGTACACTAACGGGTCATAGTCACTGCTCAGGGAGCTGCGGAACGTGGACCAGCTGCCGTACACACCCTGCAGGGACACGTCGGTACAGTTGAGCACCGAGTCACTGGAGGAGCCGTGACAGGGCCCAGAGCTGGAGTCACTGGCCGGCCCGTCAGCCAGGTAGCCACTGCGCTCTGTCCGGTAGCTCCCCCCAGAGCAGCTGCCCCCCTCGTCCCCCCGGCTGTGGACCCCACCTGCGGAGGCGCGGGCCTGGGGATCAGAGGAGGGGTGGAGCCTGGAACTGGAGGCGCTGCGCTGGGCGGGGCAGCCGGAGCGGTAGGTGTGGCAGGAGCGGCGGGGCCCGGGGCCGTAGTGGGACCCCATAGGGTGGCCTGCTGTCCTGCAGCTGCCCCCGGCTCTGTGGGGCCTTCCGGGGCCCTCTGCAGGGTGGAGGTATCCGCAGCCAGAGCCCAGGGGCCGGCTAGGGAGGAAGCGGAGGGTCTGGGGGTCCAGAGGCGGGGAGCCGCTATAGTGGCCCAAGGAGGGGTAGGGACCGGAGGGGCCGTGGGGGTAGTGAGGCCTCATGGAGAAGGGGATTTGGTGCTGTGGGAAGGCGTGGGGGTAGGGGTGGGGGTGCAGAAAACCCTGGCTGTGCTCGGGGGTCTGCTGCAGTCTGCTCCTCCGTGGCTGACGAGACAGCTCTGAACCTGTGGAGCATTGGAACAGATACAGTCAGGCAGACAGGCTACACATCAGTGGAGGCTGCTGAGGGGAGGACAGCTCACAATAATGTCTGGAACGGAGCAGATGGAATGGCATCAAACCATGTGTTTGTTGTATTTGATCTCATTCCGCTCCAGTCATTACCACGAGCCCCTCCTCCCAAATTAAGGTGCCACCAACCTCCTTTGCTACACAATCACACACAGAGACAGACAGGCAGACAGACAGGCAACACACTCACACACAGTCAGACAGACAGGCAGACAAACAGACAACACACTCACATACACAGTGTGTAAAACTGGATTTTTTACCGGATAATTCACTTGTGCAGAAGAGTGGGTAAAGGAGTGTTTTTTTTGTGTGCTTCCCCTCTGAGGCCCATTGTAGAGCTCCTGTAGTGGTCATGTCATGTCCTTACCCATGATGTTGTGCATGCAGAGGGGACAGGTACGGTGTTGCAGCAGCCAGGGGTCCACACACTCCTTATGGAACTCATGAGCACACGAGACGATCCTCAGGTCCTGTCCCTCCAGGAACTCCTCCAGACAGATGGCACAAACGGGGTTGGAGTTGGAGCTGCTATTTGACCCCCGGCCCCCACGGTGGCGCTGTGAACCC